CACCCTTTTGTATTTTGGCCACCCGTACCTGCCCATAACCATCTGGTTTTCCTTCTGGCTTCCCATACCCGTTTTTTTTTTTTCACCCCTACCCCTACCTGCCCCTACCCACCAATGATCTCCAAAAAGGGCAACTGTGCCTGCCCTAACAACCACCACCTTTTGTTTGTGCCTGCCCAATACCCAACTCCCCCTTTGGAGGGGGTACCCATACCCGCCTGTAACCTACGGCCGGGTACGGGCAATGGTTACCCGTTTGCGCTCTCTGGTAAAGGGCGCCGTTCATTGTTTCCCTTTTGAGGCAGTTGAAAACTGGGGGCGGGCGATATGGGTTTGGGTGGGCGATTTGGGTCTTTTTTTTTTTTTTTTCCCCTCTTCTACTGCATCTTCCCAGAAATAACAGTATTGAAGCATTCCACTGTTTGTTACCAAGTAACGAAATCTAGAACAGACTGCCATGCCTCGTTGGCAGGGCTTACTAAGGGAAAAAAAAAAAAAAAACGTACGTACCTTTGCCACGAGAGCTGTGGACTCCTCTCTGACCAAATGTGCAAAATGAGCATGGATCTTCTCGTAGAACGTAGGTAGATATACTGATTTCTTTTTAATTTTTATTTTCTTTTTTAAACAAATGAGCATGGCCCAGCGTCGCATATCGAATTGTACGGATCATTGAGAACATTTGAGATCATTTGAGATACCGGGGCCATTACCCGGCTTCGGCTGAGAACAGTATGTGAACACGATATGATTCAGAAAGCATGGGGAGGATCATCAATATCTAATGACCTATTAAGGAAGTACTTATGCAATAGGCTCCCACAGAGGTCCTACGAATACTAACCAACCCTCAGGATCCCTAACAAGCCCTTCTAAGACTTTCCAACACAGTCTTACTCCCTGCTGAGCTCGTCCAGGCCTCACGCCCCCACCCTGCTGGGTTACAGGCCAACACAACTCGCCCCAGCTCCGACCAGCGTCGTCCCAGCGGCAACCCTCGGCTGTCCCTTGGGATGCCCGCCCCAAAGCATCCCCAGATCTCTCCACCAGGCCTCACGCTCCTGCATCAGCAGGTTACAGGGCAACACCCCAGCACCGGCCAGCGTCGTTCTGGCATCGAACAGCCGCAGATCACTGAGTATAACAGCAACGAAACCACCTAAGATGGGTTGCTAAGAGTCCCTAAAGTCCTAGGACATTCATAAGAACAACCAACTTTTTTTCCACTATTCAGACTCTACCAAGTCACTAGAATATGTGTGTCAAAAAGCTTCCCAACCACAAATCAGATAGGTGAAACCTAATCAATCCACCTACATGGCTGTTTTCAGCACGAACCGAAGCTCTTCCAGGCCTGATGCTCCCATCAGGTTAGGTTACAGAGTTGCACCACCTTGCTCCAACACCGGCCAGCATTGCTCCAGTTAGGACCCCCGATGATCACTGAGACTGCCCCCGCAAACAGGCCCCCAGAGCTCTCTATCAGGCCTCACGCCCCCACTAAGCTAGGTCACAGAGTTGCGCCACCTGGCTCCGGCTCCGGCCAGCGTTGCTCCAGCATCGGTCTTCGAGGGTATGCTGCTAGTAGTTTAGAGCTTGAAATGCCCTTTTTCCTCACCGCCTGTGGGGTGATACAGCCCTCAGTAGCTTGCTATTCGCTTTTCAGGTTCCCCCCCCCCCCCCCCCCCTCCTGCGATCCAAGAATCTGGGCTCCGTCCAGCGGCCTAGCTCAGTTGGTTAGGCATGAGAGTGGCATTCAAAAAGTTGGGGGTTCAATCCCCGCCTATGGCACTCTTGATGCCAACCAACTGAGATAGTCAGCTGGATCCTCCCACTCTGTATCAGTAAGGTCTTCAGCCAACACAGGTGTGAGTGCACGTGTCAGTGGCTTGCGTGTGGTGTGTGGGACAGTGTTGGCGTAAGACACAACCATCAGAAGGCTGCCCATCCCCCACTTCATATGATCACGCAGTGACTGGCCTCTACAACACCATGAACTTTATAAAATGAAAAAAAAAAAGGGACCTTTGCCAAGCTTACTGTCTAGAACATAAATCGTGCTACCCGCATGGCTGCGTCCCCACATCAAACGCGGTATGATAGTTGTTGTACATCTTTGAAATGTCTATGACCCTATATTTCAAGCTTGTTTTTCTGGGTGTATTCTTTGGTTCTTTTTTTCCTTTTTCTCTTTTCCTTTTTCTTCTAGTTAATGTTTGTGGGAGTTTCGGTTCGTGTGGCTTTTTGGGCCTTGTGGCATTCATTTCGTTGTGTGAGGGATGGGCCCTGAGTCAGAGTAGAGGTCTTGCTTTGGCCATTTCTATCTCTAGGCAAGTGTTGGTCCATCAGCTGAACCTAAGCTGCGTAAAGGTCCCAGTATCTCTTAAGGG